TTGTGAAAGGGTTAATTTCACTTAAGTTGAGGGTCACACGATCTTCTTTTTTTTTTTTTTGATTGAAAGAAACATGGAGAGATTCCCTGTTCATATATAGTCGCATAATATATTTGAAACTCTTTTTTATATCACACAACTCTCCTAAACTTTGGGGTGTCTCACTTTCCGCTCAACTCTAATCTCTTATTACCGGAACCCTACCCGTAATTTGTAAAAAGTTAAGATGTCCTTTGTAGGGGGGATCTAATTTATGTCATTTGTCATTTAATAATAAAACATCTTTTCCTTAAATTAATTTTGGGCTTTTTTCCTCTCAAAATTACATGTAGAGTAACTGGTGAGAAAAGCTCAAAGTTAGGAATATTATGTGAGATAAACAAAGTTCAGACGCATTATGTGAGATAAATTAACAAAGTTTAGAAATGTTATGTGAAAAAAAAAAACCCCAAAGTTCAGGGGTCTTGTTAACCTAAACCTCTGTGAAGCTCCTCAATGTTGAAAGGGTACAGTGGAGTTTTCAAAGTTCCGGAGGTATTATGCAACTAACCCAAAGTTCAGTGTGATTTTTTCACTCTTTTTTTAAAATTTGATCGCCTGTTAGCGGGTTCAGATACAAACCCCACCCGACCCGTTCCAGCCCCAAGTTTCGTACCGAAACCACGAGCGGTTTACCCGTTTTAATCGTAGAACCCGGATTCACTCAACGCCCGAGACAAAACCAAGCGAAGGGAAACCCAGAGCACTGCATCCCATGCAAAAAGACAAGCTTACTGACTTGCCACCCCCCAATGGCTAAAAGCTTCGTACGTACTTCAACCGAATTGGTGAAAATTAACAGGCCATTAAATTATAAAAGTTAGTGTTTGCAGACTGTTTCTAGGTTCATTGCACTCGAAAACACACCGGATGTACATAATGTTGAGTATATATATATAGCACAGTACAGTAGGAGGAGAGAAGCGCAGAGGATGAGTCTCATTTTGTCTCGTCACAATATTAGATGTTGATCAATTCTTTGGAGCCTCAAATATTATTATTATTATTATTATTATTATTAATGGTTATTATTATTGAAGCTTGCAGTGCAATCGGTGGATGTTCAACATTCAAATAAAAGCCATCGTCAGTATTCTTGTAAAGTTTCCATGAGATTAGCTAGCTCGTAGCAGCACCAGCATTGAGATCGACTTCCCCTCTCTCAGGCCGGTTTAATTATTTGCTCTTTATTATTTGCGAAATGGATTTTGATTCCAAGCCCTCTCACTAGTGGATAAGGTAATAATATATCTAGCCATTACTATACGCTAAATTAAATAGTTGTCACTGATCACTTGATAGTTGAGAGATTCATAAGCGGTGATTGTTTTATCAGCCATTAAAATTCATTAATTGTGACTCCGTGTTTCTTTATCCTCTTCTTTAATTATTTTCCAAATTCAATCACTCTTTCTTACTATTTTAGGCGGATAGAACTGGTTCTACTATTTTCGGGAAACAAAACAAACAGCCCCTAGGCTTGTAAATGAAAACACTAAAAAGGAAAAAAAAACAATTCCTAGAAACAACCGCAGGTTTTTGTAATGGAAAAGGGCAATGGGAAACTTTCTGCTATTTTAGGCGGATGGAACTGTCTCCACTATTTTCGGGAAACAAAACAGGCAACACCTATGCTCGTTAATGGAACATTTAGCTAAGCCCTGTGTATTGCACAGGAAATTAATTAAACTAGTATAGAAAACCTAATATTTTCATTTATCACTTAAAAACTTCATATTTACTGATTTATCCGTCAATTTTACAACTATATTAATTATCCAAGTTCCTCCTCAATTTTCTATCAAAAATATACGCTTGGTAGATTTGTCAATATTCTGTTTTCTAATTACGTACGAAATATGGCTGAAGTATATATATCATGTACACTCGATAAAGATAATCGGGGTAAACTTTGTTATGCCCTATTTTCTCACCCAAAAAAAAATTGTTTTGCTCTAGTTCTATAGCCGTAACGATTATCTTTTTTCTGGCGTATTTGGGCCTACAAAGTTTTCCATAGGCCTGTCAACACTCCTAAATTGGACCCAAGTTAATTCTATTGCCAAAGGCTAAAAAGTTCATAAATTTAAAGGTTCCCAACTGGGCCGTTCCTCCCTAAAAGTCAAGTTACGTCTTAATTAGCTTTAGTGGACTTGAACGAAAAATTTTGCTCAGCTGTTTATATTCTAAGATTTATAAGTGAGGTTAGAATCCTCTCCCTACTCTTCGGTTGTCTACCTGGCTAGTACTTGTGAAAGGGGATGCTGCTGCTAGCAGCCAGCTATAATTATTAGCGATGGCATTTGGGTGTTGTTCATCCACCTATTGTTTCTACGAGCTATGGCGAAGCAAATGATAGCGAGGATCACGGGACATCCCAGTTGGAGTGCATGCTTCGATTTGAAGTGCGAAAGAAATAGAAGACTCTAACGGGAGAGACAAAGTTTCAAGACAGCGATGATATATCTTCAAAGGAGTTTGGGTTTTATCATGATTAGAGTTTGAATCATATTCTAATTAGAAAGTTAGGCTAGAGACAGGGTTTTGATTTTTCTATATATATTCTTCAATTGTTGGAGGAAAAATCAAGAAGAATAGAGTAGAGAGAAGATGTAGAAGAGAGTAGGAGCCAATATTCTTGTAATGTATGGTTAGTAGATGACGTAGCTTGATTCAAGAATATTATGCGAGAGGCAAGTGTTTCGTAGTCTTTATCCGTGCAAAATATTACATCATTGGGAGAGGGTTTCGTGATCTTTATCCGTGCACAAGATTACTAGGAGAGGGCTTTGGAGACAATATGAGAGTTGATTATGTATGTGAGGTTGAGAGATTGAGAGACGAGAGTTGAGTGGTTCCTCTTGTACGTAGTTCTCCCTGATATATAGTGGATTTCTCATATTGTTACCCCGTGGACGTAGGTCGAAATTGGTCGACTGAACCACGTAAATCTCGGTGTTCTTTCTTTTTTATTGTAGTTATTTTCTATCTTGTTGATTGTGAGTTGGTATCTGAGTTGCGCATATCGTGGTAAGCAGGGATACTAAAATTCCCCAACAAAGGTATGGGTTTATAGGCAAAAAAAACTTTTTGGAAAATGGGTGAGTTTAAAAATAAATGGCAATAAAACTTTAGGTGCGGTATTTTGAATCGAAGAGTGATTTTAAAAGCGTGTAGGCTGAAAAAGAAATGTAAGTAAAACTTGAAATTTATAGGCCAAAAACTAATCTACTTTTATATTCTTATATGTTCTAGTACAAGCATAAGTTCCCTTTTGTCATGATTGTTCGATTCTCACTAAATTCTCAAATAATGTTTACACGGAATCTTGAAGAGTGCATGCATTAAGAAATTTGAAGGTTGCTCGTTTGTCAATAGCGATTATGCATATTGGTTTGCCCTTGAAAATTGCTAAGAAAGAAGCCTATAAAAAGGGGTATGACTGATTAAAAGATGTCACAGAGAACAGAAGAGATTTAGAGTGAAATTTAGAGAGAGGTTTGGAGTGAGTAGTCTAATTTTTCAGATTAGTAGTGTGCTCTTTGATGTGGATAATAAGTGATGGAAGTCTCTTGCAGCTCTTGAGTGAACAATGTTCTTCCTTTTGTGATGTGAGATTTGCAAAAGTTTACCACTCGTGTCCCTGCAAAACCTGCATTGTTCGTATTGGTTTTTTGAAGAGAAAGAACATCCCTAATGAAGTATCAAGGAGGTAGGCGAGTTTGGCCGAACTACGTAAATAAGTCTTGAGTCCTATTGCTTGCACTCATTAATGTGTGGTGCTCGTTTGTGTACACCATAATCCCTAATAATGATAATGGTCTTATATATTTTACCGAACTATGTAAATAAGTCTTGAGTCCTATTGCTTGCACACATTACTGTTTAAATTCTACCCTCGTACATGTAATTTATTTTCACTCTTGTCTATGTATTTTTCACCCTTATTCTGCATTGCGATTTAGCCGTCTACTGTACGTACTAATCTAGGCCTGACTAGGGATTAATTGTTCTATGCATTTTTCACCCTTAATCTGCGTTGTGAATTGGCCATCTATTGTACAAATCCAGGCCTGAATATGGATTAATTGTTTTGATCCCAACTTCTGATGTGTTGAATGTGGTCTCTCTAAAACTACTCAAGTTTGTTTTCCAGCAGTGTAACTTAAATCGGTTGTGCAGGTATGCTTAAAAACCATATACCAAACAAAGCCTACTCAGTTAAGGGCCAAAAGTACAGATTGATTAGTACCAGGAACAGAAATATATATGAAATTAATGATGCTTTGATACTTAAGACTTTGGTTATTAAGCAAAAGAATTGAAGTGCAACTTAATTTAAATATTTACTTGACTGATGTACTCCCCTCGGAGCTCGGAAACATCAACCTTCAAACTGCAATCTGCTCGAGTAGGTTCTCATTTATCCTATTCATTCATACAGAGTTCCACGTATTTATAGAACAGACAAGAAGCACAGATGAACGCTTGTAAAAAATAAAGCATTCTAGATGGAATTTTCCATCTAGAATAGCCAGATTTTCATCTAAATTGATCATCCTAGACGGAATGGTCCGATAAGTTTCCGTCAAGAATACTTCATCCTAGATGAAATTCCGTCTAGAAAAACTATCCTAGACGAAAATCATCCTAAACGGAATAAAATACCGCCTAGAATATTTCTAGATGGAAAAGACAACCGTCTATAATAATCCTAGACGGAAATTCTATCTAAGATGTATCCGAGACGGAAATTCCGTCTAAGATGAGTATCCTAGATGGAATTTCGGTCTAGCATATATCTTAGCATCCTAGACGGAATTTACGTCTAGGATGTGGTAATTATTAAAAATTATATATGATAAATAATGTTTGCTCCTATACGATCACACTAATCCACTTGATTATCAACAATATCTACTCACAAACACCAACACAATTCCCCTCAACAATAATACAAATTGTAAAACTGTACAAAAAAACGAGTATATTATTGAAAGTACAAGTATTAGTGTAATTCTCCTAACAATTAGAAAAAAGATAGCATACAATTTAATATTTGCCAACATCGAAAAAAATGAGTACAATAACAAAAATTGTAAATCATTATAAAAAATGAGTACAATTGCATGACTCATCTGCACCTCCTTCTCGAAAATATCTGCCACCAGTTTAAACTATCTAATGGAGTTGGATCACAGAGAAATCCTGTAGTTTCATGTATAATCGTCTCAACTGGGCCTCCACTGTTGCAAGCAATAGCAGGTTTTTGTGCTGCCATTGTTTCTAGAGCAACAATGGCAAAGTGTTCATCCTACAGAGATCAAACAAGAAGTTATGCGTCGGAATCCAAAGCTTCAGCTGATTTGTACTTTATAAATTTGTATTAAAGAGGGGTTATTCAGATGTTTCGTTTTATGAGGATCAAGGAGTGGGAAAAGATAATATTATATCGCATCTGGATTTTTTTTTCTTTTGATTCAGGACTGTATTATGGCTCATGCTTATATCTTTTGGAGGGAATCATTGCTGACTCTATATTTTGCTTATAAGATTTTGATAACATGTTGAGAAAATAAATTGTGGAACACAATGGAAGAAGCTTTACGGCTAACTACATGTTGGAAAAAAAATACACCCAGGTAGCAACCATCATCATAAAGGCAATAATTGACGCATCACATTCCAACAAAAGTGAGCAGCAGAGCATACCTGGTCAGCAACGTAATTTGACCACTAAAATTTTTCATGCATGAGCTCCATGTACTCAGAGGTCCAATATCTCAGGAAGCCGACATGGTTATATATCACTTCTAAGCAATGGCACCCCTCAGGTAATCTTGAGCCTTTTTCCATGCATCGTTAATGGAGCTACAGAGTTCACTGAATTCAGGTAAGTTATAGTTAAGAACTATAGATTCTTCTTCTGTGCTCGTGACTGTATATCGGTAGTATTGGACTTACCGGGCACTACCTATTTGAAAAGAAATAAATTAGTAAAACACAATGGAAACGTAGCACGAAGAAAAAGTATGGCTGAAGATTCCCATGGTAATAAAAATAGATGACTGTAGTATACTTTCAGTACTTACACCGAACAGCTCTAGCTGATAATATATATGTCTGAGATTATCAAGATCATGGAAGCTACACTAATTCTTATATGCCATGTGATTCTTGTCTAATGCATTTTAACCACCAAAAAGATGTACAACTAAAGTTAAGGCTTCAGCATATTGTAGCTGTCATAATGAATTAATACTTCGCCGCTTTGCAGATATATGTACGTTCAACATGAGCGCATTGTGCACCGTCGTATTATGGATACATATGAAGATTCTGAAATATTTACCTGTGCAAAAACTTGAAGCATGTACAAGAAATCCATATTTAATTCTCTTTTGATTTGATGATGTGAATATATACTACAAAGATTCTAGTTGATGTCTTAATTACTTGACAGAACTGGCTATGACGAGTGCATGGCGTGTTGCTGGAATCATACATAGCATTAGAGGGATGGGCTGCACATGAGTGTGGAGACACGATGTTAGGAATTGGGAAAATATGGAATGTTGCTCTTCGTCATGGATTTTCTTCTAGCGACACAAGTTTGATCAGCCTATTTTAAGAGGGGTATCTTTGTGTTTTACCAATGGCATATAATGTGATGATAACATCAGACTAGCAACCAATATGGCTATGAAATCACTTCTCTGCCAACATTAAAAGGCTGCAACATATGTAATGATTATTAGCTTTTATGTCCTGAGACTCTATTTTTAAGAATGTATTATGAGTTATGTTATCAACTACAGAAGGGTTGTTTCCAGCAGGGTAAGCATGTGGAGATATTGAAATGATACTTTTACTATTCATATTCTAATATAACTCCATCTACAACAGAATAATAGCGGGTAAATCTAAAAAGGGGAAGTTCTCATTCCTCAGTAACACTAATTACGACCTCCCTATACAACTAGGAGCACAGGTATTACAAGTGAACTGTGGTGAACTACAAAATAGTTTAGTTTAGCGAAACTTCTAAGCAAATCCATTCAAGAACCATCATCGACAAAATCAATATTTCAGTCCTGCATATTTACAGATTAGTGAAATAGGTCAGTGACAACTAATCTTACATTTCTTTTCAAACGTAAACTGCCAGATAAGAGATAAAATCCAATGGAATAACTCAATTAAGCCATTGCTATCGCGTTAATAAATGCACTAAATTGAAAAATAACAAAAATTAACCAAAATGAGGGCAAATACCTCAACTCCCATAACCTCCTTTAGAGAAATTAATGGCTAAATGGACATTGTTGCAGAAATTAATGGTTAGGAATTTAGGGTTTGTGTGTGGTAGGGTTTTGGGGGAAGAGATCGAAGAGGGTTTCTTCGATTGTGAAGAGAGCTTGTCTAAAGCGGAGGAATCAATTTTGACCCTTGATGTGGTCGGCGTTGGCGACCTAGTCCCGTGCGAGAGGGGCCCTGGCCGTTGCGGATCATGACGGAGTGGACCATCCGTCGCCGTAGAAGAAGTGGTGGCGCCGCGACGGGTTCGAACAGGGGATTGGCACCGTTGCGGACGTAGACGCCGTCGATGAAGGGGGGGATGCGGCCGACGACAGGGAGGAGGGAAGGCTCAAGGTTTGGAAGTTTTATGGTGTGTTTGGGAGTTTACTTATGGTGTGTTTGGATTTCAATAGAGTTAAGGGAAGTTAAAGGGATAAGGGAGAGAAGGGAAGGGAAGAGAGTTCCCTTCCTCTTGGTTAGAGCATCTCCAACAGATTCTGCATCTTCTTGGTATTCTCAAATTTGGAGAATTTTGAGCTTTTTTTTGGTCCAACAGATTCTCCATCTCATTCCCCAAAATGGGGATGAGGGAGAAAAAATAGAGAGCCTTCCCCAAATCTGCAGCATTCTGCAAATTTTTAGAGAAGCACTGTTTCACGTTCTTCTAGGCTCAACACACAAAAAACGACAGATTCTTCTCACCTCAAGATCAAAGAAACTTCGCTGCGGTTTCCCATCTTCGCCGTGGGTTCCCATCCTCGAGCTCGAGCTCGAGGGTTCGCCGCAGATCCTTCAACTCCTTGATTCTCGTCCCTCACCTCAAGATCTAGGGTTTCCATCTGTCGATCTCCTCGAGCTCGAGCGTTCGCTGCCGGTTCCCATCTTCGCCGCGGGTTCAAATCCTCGAGCTCGAGTGTTCGCCGCAGATTCCTCCTTCTATTTCTTGAGTTCTCGTCCCTCACCTCAAGATCTAGGGTTTCCATCTGTCGATCTCCTCGAGCTCGAGCGTTCGCCGCCGGTTCCCATCTTCGACGAGCTTCAGCCTCCATTGGATTTCAGGTAAGGGGCTGTTTGGTTGGCAAAAATAAGGAGTTGAAATAGGTTTCCAGCTCTGACATGTTGACAGTAAGAAATGTAAGTTCATTTTTTTTTTCTAATCTGCAGTTTGGTTCGCACTCAAATTTAAAGAAAACTTTGATGGAAATCGTCCGCCAGCTCAGAAAAACAGAGATCCCCATTTCCGAAGTTTTTGCTCGGAAATGGGACGGAGATGAGTTAAAAAACTGCCAGCTAGACCGCGGGAACACAGAAAAACAGCGGGAAAAAAACCACTTCGTTATTATCACCGCCTTCTTATCTCTTTCTCCTTTCCTCTTCCTTCTTCATTTTCTTTTTCCGTCTCTCTTCTTCAATCCTTCCACCGCCTCTCTCTGGCCAAAAAATTATGGAAAATATTTTTTGTGAAACCTTCGTCGATCCTACCTGATATCGATCCCTCTTCCACTGTCAATCTTCTCTTGCTACTTCAATAGAAATCCAAGCTTTGTTAGGGCTAATAGTTGGCTATTTCATCGGTAAAACAACTTCTAATTTGGAGTGTAATATACAGGGGTTGCTTGGAGGAAATGCAAAATACTCGAGGCATAGGAGATGTGCTAACATTTCTTGTTCGATGCAAATATCAGATTCAAGTGAAAAAAATAGAAATGCTCGAGGACGTGTTTTTTTATTATCAGATTGATGCTTCTGCTCTTAAGTGCTTATTCATAATTAGTTTGATATATCATATTCTAATATTACTCTGTTATTTCTGTCTAGCTTGGAGGAAATGTAAAATGCATGAGGTATAGGAGATGTGCTAACAGAAATGCTCAAGGCGCGCAAATATATTTGTTCTTCAATACAATTGATAATGGTTATGGTCTTATTATTGGGATCCTTTTGTTGTGATGTAGAATCTATTGGTTCAGTATTGTGGTGATTAATATAGCATCGATTAACAAACTCTTTGACAATTTTGTCTAGAATGAATTATCTATGTTGTAACAGGATGTTCAAGTGAAAAAAATATCTGGAACTGTGATGTGGGTTGATATATTATGTTCATGTCATTTTTGTTTTGAAATTTTGATGGGAAATAGTTAGAATTTGGTTGTTGAAATGAGTACTACATTTTATTATGTGAATGTCTCTTTGGTGGTAACCTCACCATGGTGAGCACAACTAGTTTTTCTTATTGTGCACTTTTTCCATCCAAACTACTGAAATTGAGAAGTGATATTTCCTATTCTTGGTTTCTTTTTTTTTTGTGTGAAACAAACCATGGATAATTGAGGACATCTATTTCCAGCCCTCTTTTGTGATGAACCAAACAAAATTCAAGAAACCTTTAATAAAACATGGAAATCAATGTCCATGCCTGGAAATAGATTTCCTATATTTAGGGAAACCAACCAAACAGCCCCTAAAGTTCTTCTCTCAATTTCAATTTTTGATTGTAATAGACCCTTGAATTTTGATTTTGGGGATGATCAAGAATCCTAATCCTCTGATCTGGAATCCTAATCCTTTGATTGTTGGTCTAGCTAGCTCAATAGTTGTAGATTAAAATTGTTTTGATAACCTGTCAGCATTATAAAATACCTAATTTTATATGAGGAGTTTTTTTCTTGAATTAGAGCTGAGCATAGTGTACCATGGCAAACGTGTATTGCTTGGCTTCTGTGGTTCATTCTTCTGTGGTTCATTCTCATCATGCTTCTGTGGTTCATTCTTCGGTCCTGATTCGTTTCATATTAACTCACCTTAGAAATTGCAGCAGGAA